TATAAAAATTTCTGATATAAATGTAGGCCATCTGCATGTCCAAGGGAAAATGTCGATATTAAACCCTCTTGAAAACTTTTAGATCCCTAAGTCGAATCAGATCTGTTCAATAAACTCTTAGTTAGCACATGCCTATTATATTTGCTCCTGAATTGTAACCATGAACAACACTCAATACTGACCATTCTTGATATCTTGGACAAATCAGCAACTGTCTGGCGTTTCGTTTGGCTCTGTGCATGGATAATGTAAGTCTTCGTTCACAAATTCACCCAGCTCGGTACCAATAATCTTTGTTCTCTCTCACACTTCGCGGGAAAAATACTGAGCGAAAGCCGGTGGATTTTGTAGTCTGGGCCGCCGAGGGGGAGGGGATTTGCCCCAGGCCTCCACCTTAATGGGCCCCCAACTTGGGAAAGAAAAGTTTAAAAAGTTAACAATATACTCAGGCAGATAGAGGATCAAAATTATGGAAAACTTACTATATCGTGGGACGATTCCATTTTGCCTTTATATTATGCCCTGAAGGCTAATAAGTACGTTTTTATATGATGGCCGCATTAAAATTTCTTGTGGGCTCCTGGCGACACGTTTTGTATTAAACTCTATTACAGTTAAAAAATGTGAAATTTCTGATACATTTCTAATACAAATGACTTGTGTCAATAGAAACCCAACAAAAACTACATATAAGACATTTAAATGGTTAGTTGGGATTTTCAAGCGGTTTTCAAGTTATTGCTGTTTCAAATGTGAAAATTAAGCCAAAATCTCGCAAAATTCCTAGGCACTAGTCTGAAAACACGCATTCAACAGCTCATAATTCAAGAAGAACTTGAAAAAGCCGGGTAACCGTTTAAATGTTTTATATGTAGTTTTTTGGAAGCATTCAAATGATGTAAGTCATTTGTGTTAGAAATGTATTTGAAATTTCACATTTATTTTTTAACTGTAGTAGAGTTTAATACAACATTCGAAGAAAAACGTGTCAGCAGGACCCCACAGGAATTTTAACGCTGCCAACATACAGAAACGTAGGCCTACTTACTAGCTTTCAGGGCACAATCTGAATGCAAAATGAATTGTCCCGCGATATGGTAAGTTTTTTTTAAATAGTTAGATTTTCAAACAAAGTTTTAAAAAAGTTAGATTAGGGTTAGGGGTGCCGCGGATTTATCATATTGATAAATTTGGACACGTTTAACAATTTACTGATATAGTAAATTCAAAGGTGGGCTCATGCTGTTTTATAGTCTCCAGAGTCTATACTGCACCCGCGCGTGCCCCTTAGCCCTTTATATTTTATTCTTTGTTACTTGTTTTCATTATGCCCATAGAGATATCAAATTATATCCCTCCCTTGCTTCTAGATTTTTATCCAAATAAAACTCTATTAAGAACAAATTTAGAATCTTTGCTTTGACAAACCCATACAAATCTTCGTTGGCGCTTCTACCTTCGGCTAAACTATTTCTTATTTCGGCCCCCTCTTTCCAAACCCGAACTTCCCAGATGGTGTTGTGTCTTGTGCCCACGATATACGCTCAATATGCATTTTTCAAGCTCAGCTTCACAAAACTGTTATGACTCTCTTGGTTTTCCTCTGTCTTCTTATGGGCACTACAAATCCAGATGGTTCGTCATTTGGTTGCTGTAGTCCTCTTTCCACAAACAGATTTTCATCTGATTTCGGTTGCCTCGATTAACATTTACTTCTGATGAAGCATGACATAATATGTATTACCTCGTTTTCATAAAATGGTTTGAATTTTATTTTCTTTTCTTATAGACCCCATGGTAACAAATTTTATTGTTTTAATTCAATACAAATACTTGATCTTAATTCGTGTTGGTGAACGAAAGAGTAAAAATTAATTAATGCACTTCAGCCCATAGTGCAACAAAAGAATTGGAAGCTCTGTTTGCTTTTATTCCAATCATAGTAATTCAAACTCATTTTAAAACGGAACAATACATATTTTACAAATTTCGTGGCTCGTCCATCCTTACAAATTTGAACTAGTAAGCGACGGGTTTCTTAATGAGATACATCCCTCGGGAACGTGACCCTCGGGAAGCATCCCTCGGGGCCAGTGCTGTAGAACTAAATTGACCAGAGGGGGGGGGGCTCTCTTGACGAGTGTGAAGCCGTGAAATTGTAAAAAAACGTGACGTCATACGATGAACAGGAGTGAGCCATACGATAACCAGGGCTGACCAGGGCTAAACCTATAGCCCTTACCGCGGCGGCATTTTTTTATTGGGGGGGGGGGGGG